GCCAAAACACTGAGCAGCAATGGCAAGAGGGATGGCTGGGAACAAAACAGAGAGTTTAGTCCCCAATAAAACCTCTTGCAAATTCCCCAGAAACTGTCTGAGAAGGGCACACGGAACTTTGGAGACAAGTGTGCGGTCGGACTTCTTCCGAAGTGAAGAGGATGACATGTTGTGCGCAGTCCGGCTGGTGCGGCCGGTCTCCTTGGTTAAACCCTTGAGGGTGCCATTTTCTAACAGCCATGGCTGATCTTGGTTTGAAGCCATGATCGATGGTGATGCACACAAAAATGTAGAAGAAAAACAAGGCAAGGAATGTATACGTAGCAGGCTGGCTGGCTAGGTAGCTAGCTAGATAGTATCTTGTCAGATGAAGTAGAGTAAGGAGTTGTACAGTTAAATAGAGTTGCGATGTTGTGTGAGGTTAATATCTGCCAAGTATAATTGTAGGCTTCCAGGAAGTTTCGTTTTTGTTTGAGTGCAAACAACAAAAAACCAAAAAAAATTGGACTGAACACCGAATTGAACCAAATTTTATTGGTTCGGTTTTGGTTTTGGAGTTTCAGAAACTAAACCAAACCGAACCGAAATCCCTTTACACTTTATGAATGTATGCCCATGATGATTCTTTTGTAAAACTTTGTTGCCAAGTTTGAAACTAAGCCTAGGGCTTTTTCAAAGAGCATACTTGGTTTAGTTAGGGGAGGGTATTTTATTGGTTATAGAGGAAAGTTTTGGAATGCTTTAGAACTTGGATGAGCTTCTCTATTTGTTTGCTTTTTGAATGGATACGGTGATCATTTTTCTTTGCAATTGAGATTGTTGATAGAATATGATTGGTTTATATGATCTTGTATATGTACAATTACCTACCTATTTCCCCACTTTCCCCATTTTCTTATTATTAGTCTAGCAATACAAGCCTCTTTTCTAAATTTCATATATCAAAATCAAGTTTTATAAAATAAAGAAAAACTGAAACTGTACTAAAACTGAACCAAACAAAACCAAACCGAAAGAAAATTAAAACCGAATCCACCCCCTCAAGTGGTGGTAATGCTCACCACCCTATTTATCATCGATAAATGAGTTTGAATTTTGAGATTTTTGTCTATCTACTACATGAATCTCGAAATTCAAACTCATCTAACGGTGGTAAATATGGTGGTAAGCATACAATACAACATAGTTTATGATGATGAGCAAAAATCCTCTCTTTTTGTTTTTTGTAGCTTGCAGACTTTTTATGCCACGTATTTTCTAAAATAAGAGATCAAAACTAATACGTATATTTGTCCTGCATGTTACACTTCTTAATTTATTTTTTGCGAACTAACACGATACTGTTGCTTCATTAGAGTAGGTTACCGAAGCTAGATTCTCATAGCATGGCGTGTCGAGTTAGCAAAGCGTTGTAGTAGCGCCGAAGCCTTATGTTCTATAATACTGAGCCAAGGATGCTCCACCTTATCTATAGAATCAGTCAACTGAGTTCTGAAACGAATTAGCTCCTTGGTAATGGCTTAGGCCATCTCTAACCGAGGGCTGGCCAGATGGCTCGTTTTAGCCCTTTGGCCCTCCAAGATTCTCCAAGATATTAATATTTTAATGAACAATACAGGGCCATATTTGCCTCCGTTTTCAACCGAGGGCCAGAGGGCTCGTTTTAGCCCTATCACAAAAAATCATCTCCAACCGAGGGCCAAAGGGTTATAGGGCCAAACATAATTTATTATTTAAAAACTACAACTAAAATGTTGTTTAAGTTTCATGTTGTATAAATTTTTATGTTGGTTAATTTTATTTAATGTTGTTTCATATTGTTTAATGTTGTTTCATGTTACTTAATTTAATTTAGTTTCATGTTACTTAATTTAATTTAATGTTGTATAATGGCTTAGGAAGTTATAGGAAAAAAATAGAATTTAAAAAAAATATGAAAACAAATTTTTGTCAAATAGAAGTTTATAGGAAAAAAAATGGAATTTAAAAAAAAAAATATGAAACAAATTTTGTGAAATAGAAGTTATAGGAAAAAAAATGGAATTTAAAAAACAATATGAAGTAAATTTTGTGAAATAGAAGTTATAGGAAAAAAAATATATGAAACAAATTTTGTGAAATAGAAGTTATAGGAAAAAAATGGAATTTAAAAAAAACCAAATTTTGTGAAATAGAAGTTATAGGAAAAAATAGAAGTTATATGAAAAATTTTGTAAATAAAAAAGAATAATAATAATGTAAAAAAAAAAATCAAATCAAATGCAACGGCTAGTAACCGTTTCATTTGATTTTTTTTTTTAAAACAATCCTGTCGGTTATAACCGACAGGAATAACAAAACATTAAAAAAAAAAATAGCCAGCCTGGGGCTGGCTAGCTGGCCGAAAGCAGCCAGCCCTCCAACCCTCTCTGATCCCGTGGGGCCCTCCCAGATTCCAGAGCCCTCTGGCCTAGCCCTCGGTTGGAGACGATTTTAGGGCTATTTTCGGCCCTCTGGCCCTCTGGACCCTTCGGTTAGAGATGGCCTTAATATATAGATAGAAAGGTCTATGATGGGAAACTACCACGTTAGTATTTTTCATAAAGTGCACATTTGAGTTAACTTGACACAACTTGATATATATGATTTATTGATTTTAACCAAATTGACACGATTACTATTTATATGTTGAGTTTTAAGCAAGCTAACACAGCAGAATTAGGGAATCTGGACTAAAGCAAACTGTCCAGATTATACATTTTTATCCGTATCAAAACTTAGATTTAGAAAGATACTCGCAAATAGACAGTTTAATAACTTTACGGTTATTAATTACAAACATAATAAGCTAGGGCTTTAGACATACAATAAATAATTCACAACATATGTTGTTTCGTACAGAGGATTGTATTAAAATGAGTAACACTCTAAATTCAAGCACTACAAAAGGCGTAAGTAACGGAATTTCACGTGACACTGAAAAGTAAAAATGAAATATTTTCCATTTTGAGGAGATTATAATTTTATAGTGAATCAGAATGTATAAGTTATTTTCTTGAGTAATATTCATCCCCTATTTTCGAGATGGTGACAATTTTTTTTTCCTTCAACGTACTTTAAAAGTTTTGAGTAAACTCTAAATGTTGACCAACTTTGTCTTACCAACTGAAAAATTTCGTCGAGCAAGACTAAATTTCTAAAATGCTTGCAAATTGTGTTATCTATTCAAATCGAATTCCCGTGTCACCAATTAGTTCTATTTTAAAACCTCAATTTTCTTATATGAAGTAGTACATCCACAGTAATCACCAAGATAAAAAACTGCGTCTGACTTTTGACTGCCGATTATGTACTTGATGTGCGGTTCTGGAAAGTACAGGTAAAAGCCAGTAGAGACAGAAAACCATTGACGTTTTGTTTTTTAGTAATTAATCACATAATTTGACGTTGATTTTGAGCCACGTCACGTTGATTTTGAACCACGTATATCCAATATAATTATGAGAAAAAAAACAAAAAAGTCCAACGTTTAGCACAGTGAGAATTGTACGCTGTATATTCTCTATACAGAGACCAAAGAGAAATAATAATGACGATGCTGATGTCATGATCATATACAGTGGCCGATTTAAGATTTTAATTCTGGGAGGTTTTAGTGTTACAGAGCGGGAAGAGCACAAAAAAGTCATTTTATTCGCTGAGGTATTCTTTAAACAATTGGCGAACTTTTTGTCAGCCACTATATAACATACATCTCAACAAATATCGAATACTGAAGTAATTCGACGAGTGATGTTGAGTGATGTTTACGTAACGTATCAAGATATACTTAACGTATATTACATCAAATATTTAATAAGTAAAAAAGATCACACCAACATTCGGAACATCCTCTAAAAACGAATTTTAAGCTGTCCTTGGACTACCTTGGTTCCAGTGTAATCCGCCCCCTGACCAGATATGTGCAAATACAACTGCGTATTAATTATTTTTCATTTTTATATTATCTGGGCCAAATGCATGCCACATAGATCAGATAATAACTGAGAACTCTCGGAAGTAGTTGTACAGAAACCTACGTATACCGCATACGAACCTTCCTGGAAACTCCTCGATGGATCGATGACGGTTATGCTTAGCTTTCCATACTCGAACACAATCTTGAGTAAGAGCCATCCCTTCATGAAGTTCTTGCTTGCTAGATTGGGATGACAGGCTCACATGGAGTTGCACATGAGCATACGATCGTTCTTTGTTTTTTTGTTCTATTTTGTTTTTGTTTGTTTTTGACCGTCATTATATATTACCAATTAATTTTACGTTGGATTGCTCACATTTTAATGTGTATAGAAGCATGCATGGTTTTCATTTGTCAAGTCACATATATATAGTGCCGGTCTGAGCTTTTTGAGGCCCTGAGCGACACCGAAAAGAAAAACCCTAATTTATATATAGACAAACTTGAACCTGATTTTGCAATCAAACTTAAAAAAAAAAAAAACCACTACTGAAAATTGCCACATTTAATAACTTGCACCCTTTACGTTGAGAGAGGGAATTGAAGATGGGTGGGCATGGAAACAAAAACCGCACAAAACCACTCCGGCTTATAAGATAATTTGATAACTAAGATGAATGTTTATTATTTATTCAAAACAAAACAAAACCTTATACATACATGAACTAACATAATTATTTTTATGCCCCTCGTTTTTGGGGGCCCTGAGCGGTCGCCTTGGTTGCCCTATGCTAGACCTAGTCTTACATAGTTACATTACGATTACACACGTGAAGGGTTCAGTTGAAATGTCTATATCGGAAGAAACTGATTAGGGGGAAAGAAAGATTTTCATATCAACTATCAAGCTACTCTCTTGCTTACACGTCCTTGGGTACGTTTATAATGCGACATATGAGTGGTACCCAACTAGTTAATAAGAAGCAAAAGTGACAAAATTAGGGAAGGTAGAAAGAAATTTCGTGAGATATATATACACTATTCAAGGAAAAAATTTCTAAGTACGCCTATATATATTTGCGGCTCGAGTAGATTCTCAATTCTGCACAATATTTTTACAGATGAACTTCGGCGGTCCAAAGTTTGAAACTGCGCTATCAGTTGGATTGTTGAAGGGTTTCTTGCTTGCTCCATGTAATTTGCTTATTTTACTGCATCCTATCATGTGTCCATAAACGTACTTATGTACGTATGCTCATGACCCTACTCTGAATCTCAAGCTCTGAATTTCCGGTACCAGTTGATTTAATTATAATATTTTCTTTGGAGGTTACTCAATTCATGGAGATTATTAAGCAACCAAATTTACATGTAATTAGTATTTTCTTATTCATAAGCTGACCTCTACTCTTTCTGATAGTCATTTTATTTTTAGTTTTTAGTTTTAATTTTTGTGGTGAGATTAAGGAAAGTATAAGGGTGAAAGGAGTGGTGAAGGAGAGGTGGGAGGGAGAGGAAGAAACAAAGAAGAACAAACTTAAACATGATCTTGAAAGTATAACGATTACAATAGTTTTTTGTTTTTTATTTTTTATTTTCTGTGCATTTTTTCTACCTCTTCGATCATCTTTTCTCCACTCTTTGTTTATAGTCTTGTGCTTCCATGATAAAGTAATTTGGTCAAAATTTCGAGGCCAAATTAATATATATTGTAATAAGTGGAAAAATCTAGTTTGATCTTTTCCGTTAAGAATAAGGATGAGTACGGATTCATTCGGTTCAATTTTTTTTTTTTAAATCGAAAATCAAAGCAAGATTACTATTTGGTTTCGTTATGTTTTTGCAATCTGTAAAGTAGAAACCGAATTCGTTTTCGTTTTTCTTCAAGCTTTTTTTCTTTTTCTTTATAATTAACCTAGAATTGGAGAGAAAATGAAAAAAAAAAAATCTAGAGAATAAAGCTTTCAAAATATTTGGGCCTCTCATCACATATTATTTATCATCGATCACTCCACACAGTCCAAAAATATGTCTTGCTGTCATTATGTCTTTGCCAGAATATCCAAATAATACCCAAGAATATATTTGCCCTCCACACGATCCATGTCTGTGGAACCCTAGACAGAGCTTTCCACGAAGCTTCCTCCATCTTTGTGGGCACGTCCGTACACATCTTTATCACGTCGTTCTCTATATAATTGCATGATTTGTTTTGTACAGGAGCTCAGCTGGGACATGCATAAGATTTATACCACACCTTCGGAATAATAACGACAGAAATGTTGTTTTGAGATGTAATGTCATGTACATGGGGTATAGGAACTGCAATTTCCACGAACTTTCCTCTCTATCTCTATCAGGGGCAGAGTAGGCTTTTGGAGTAGCGAAATGTGCAATCGCATAATGTTATATACACTTTTGTTTATTCACTGAACAAAAGATACATATGAATGTAAATGTTGTTTCTAAACTCGAATCGAACGCATAAAATTACACTCTAACATGTTTCGGAAATTTCATTTCATTAAGTGAGTTCAAATGGGAAAGAGATAAATAAATAAAAAAACACAAATCTAACAAATAAGAACAGAAACGAAAAAAATATGAAAAATTAGAGTTAGAAGAAGTGAAAGACAAATTTACGTTTCTGGGTGTCACCCAAATGAAGGAATAGACATACTATTCCAAGAAAAGCGTGCCACCTCTGTACGAAGCTTTGCTGGCTCTCTGTGTTTTCCTCACCTGCAATTAGACCTGAGAGAGAGAGAGAGAGAGAGAGAGAGAGAGAGAGAGAAGAGTCATCATCGTCATGGAAAATATTGTCAAATTCCCCCCAAACAACAGTTAAATATCAGAACCAGTCCAATAGTTTGAGTATTCTTCTTTTCTACTTGTGTTTAAGAAAATATTGTCAAATTCCCCCCCTATAGATTTCAGAACTCTAGCTTTACCCAGTAAAGTTTATCATCATGTTTCCAGACCAAATAGGTTCCTTCAAAGTTTGAATCCTTCTCCTTCTTCTTTTATTGTTCCTTGTCATAGGGTTAAATTATTACGATATATTTAGGAAGTTGTTATTGACTCTCCAAAATTCTCATTCTACACTCCAAACTTTCTATGTTTAGAAAGAAAAATACATTTGTGAGGAGTGTAGAATGAGATTTTTGGAGTGCCAATAACACTTTCCTATATTTATATAAGAAGTAAAAGAATAAGTTGAAGTCATCTACAAAATTTGAATTTGATAAACAATGGTAAACAAATCTAATTGGATAAAAAGATACTAGTTATCAATTTTCTCATGTTCATGTTTTTCTGACAATAATTTGTACACATTTTGGGTGTTTGTACAAAAAGCGTTTTTTATTTTTTTTATTTTCCATGTACAACGAAAAACAAAAAGAAGTTCACATTCAAATCCGAAAATTATGAAAGTCAACCTAATACCTCTCCTTATAGGCGGCGAGAATATCACAAAAGGGGATGTATTCAATTGACAACTTGATGAATTCTAATGGAATTATAACTCCCATGGTGTCTATGAATTTTAATAGATTCATATAGACTCCACATGAATATTATTGAATACTTGTGTTATAAAAATGCTCTAAGGAGGCAGCCTGGGTGCTAGACGATGGACGTCCGATGCGATTTTGGGCAAGTTGTTTACAAAAATCGGTGGGAGTTAGGCAGCCACCTAGGCATCTCTAAACTACTAGGCGGTGCTAGGCGGATTGAATCTTGTCTTCTTCCATCGCTCGTTCTGCAACTCTCACCATCTTGAATTCTCGTCTTCTTCCATCGGTATGAAGCTAGTGATGATTTTGAGGATCAATCACTAAAATGGGGTTGTTAAAACAAGGTTCCACCCTCAAGAATATAATCGAAAAATCTTACCTTAATTTTCAAAACCTCATGGTGCGGCGAATGTGAAAATAAATAGACTGATTGATGATTTATGTACGAATTTGCAAAACTGAATAAAAACCGGGGGTCACCCATGTTTTTTGTGAAAATTTCAAATTTTTTATTTTCACAAAATATTTTCCATGAGCATTAAGGAAAACTTTATAAGGAATTACGAAGCGGTGTTACGGTTTACTGAACAATGAATTTATATTTAGTGTAATATTTAATCCGAAAACTAAATAAATAGGTGAAAAATATTGTTGTGAGGCCCAAGTCATTGTTAAAATGGGGTTCCACTATCAAGCATATCAACATAATGTCTTACCTTAATTTTCAAAACTTCACAATAAGGCGAAGGTGAAAATAAATAGATTGAGAATGTGAAAATAAATAGATTGAACGATGATTTATATACGAATTTACAAAACCGACTAAAAATCCACCTTTTTTTGGTCAACAATTTAAATTTTTTATTTTTGCGAAATATTTTTTGTGAACATTACGGAAAACTTTATAAGGCATATAGAAACAGATTTACGATTTATTGATTAATAAATTTCTATTTAGTAGAATATTTAAGCCGAAAACTAAAAAAAATAAGTGACAAATATAGTTGTGAGGCTCCAAACATTGTCAAATGGGGTTCTACCCTCAAGAATCCCAACGGAAAGTTTTACCTTAATTTTCAAAACTTCATGGTGAGGCGGATGTGTAAATAAATAGATTGAACGATTATTTAATTACGACTAGGCGATGATCGGTAGCGTGGTTGACACACCCCGATCCTAGAATCAAGGCGTGCTGGCCGTCACGTGAGCGTGACATAACCAAAAGTGCGATGCGGAAGCAAAAGATAAAGGAATTACGAAGGAATAAAAACCAACTACTAGCAATAATATCCAACTAACATGCTAGAGTAAGTTTAAGTGTGAAACACACAAATTCAGAGCATAAACACTAGGTGCAGTCAAGTAGGACCATAACTAAATTACAACACCCGAAGGTGAGTCCTACATTTATGTAGTCTGTCAGAACGCCGTAGAAGTCCTCGTCAACCACCAACTGCTAACTAGAACCTGGAGGGGCAAAAAACAAGATTGAGTGGGTCAGTAAAACAAAGCTTTTCGAAAACATTTCATCAAAAACATATCTAACTCCTCGCTGTAAAACCTGTATACTTTCCCAGAAAATAACATAATAGCACATAAATCTTCGTATATCTCAAATCATCAATCTTTATCAAAAACCAGAAAATATGCCATGCTATAAATGTCAATAACAGAATATGGATGCATCAATATAACAGGTGGAATAATGAATCAACCAGAGGTATCAGAGCCAATCCTTGACCGGAAGTGTGCCGATAAGGACGTCGGACCCCTAAGGGGGGTGGATTGTAACATCCCACATCGCCCAGTGGAGTGATCCTTAAATGTATATTCCTATCCCTACCTAGCACGAGGCCTTTTGGGAGCTCACTGGCTTCGAGTTCCGTAGGAACTCCGAAGTTAAGCGTGAAGGAGGCCAGAGCACTCCCAGGATGGGTGACCCACTGGGAAGTTGCTCGTGAGTTCCCAAAAACAAAACCGTGAGGGAATGGTAAGCCCAAAGCAGATAATATCGTGCTACAGTGGTGGAGTGGGCCCGGGAAGTGGTCCGCCCCGGGCCGGGATGTGACAGTGGTACTGCTCATTCCCTATTCCAATTTATTTCTTTATTTTCTGCTTTTTTTTGTTTTTTTTCCATTGAGTGTTTCTTCATACATTACTTTATTTGAGTAACCACTATTAAATTCAAATATCTTGAAATATAGGTTTTAAATTGTTGATTTCAAGTGTTTAAATATGAATTGTAATAGATTTTTCATGGAAAAGACGGCGGAAATTTTGCAGATGCATTTTTGTCAAAGGAAAAGACGGCGGAAATTTGCATCCACAAATATATTTTGAAGAACATGAGTATGATAGTTTGTTGTTATGTTAAGAGAAATAAGAGAAACATTAGCAAAAATAAATAAAAGACTAAAAAAATTTTAAAAGGGGAGATCGGTACGAAACTAGCGATTTACGATTTATTAAGCAACAAGTGTATATTTAGTTGAATATTTAAGCCAAAAAATAAAAAAATAAGTGAAAAATATAGAGACGTTAAAGTAGTGTATATTTTTTATTTTTTTTTAAATTAGAGATGTTAAAATCATTTTTACGTGGGGCTTAAACAAAAAAATAGCAAGATTTTATTTTGTTCAATAGTCTTTCACCCTCTTTTGGTTGACAAAGAAGGTTATATTAATATGTAGTTTAGATTTAGATAAAAGAAAAATTAACGAAAAAAAGGTTCAAATATCATTAAATTTAGGTTTTAAATCGTTGATTACAAGTGTTTAAATACGAATTATAACAGATTTTGCACGAAAAAAATATATTTTAAAGAACATGAATATGATAGTTTGTGGTAGTGGTAAGAGAAATAAAAGAAAAATGTAAAAAAATAAATCGACTTTTTAGCCAAAATGGTTATTGAGATTTGCATAACACATCATTTTGGTCATTGAGATTGAAAATCAATAGAAATGGTCCCTGAGATTGTCCACCATCCATTATTTTGGTCATTCAATTAAAAACTCTGTTAAGTGTCCCGGAGCTCTTGGCCGGAAGTTTGGGCAATTTTCAAAGCTTCGTAACTCAATCGTTTCTTAACCAAATTCGACCCATAATATATCAAAATGAAGATATGAAAGTGTAGAACAAGATTATACCTATTTGGAAGCCCAATGGTTGCTGGAGATGTCCGGAAAATAGCCTGAACGTGACTCGTTCGCGGGAAAACTGGAAAACTCGCCAAAAACTGGGTAAATTTTGAACGTTCATAATTTCTTCAATACTCAACGAAATAGAGTGATTCAAAAAATGAAAATCATACTTCTCAACGAGACAAAGAGAATGGTACTTTTCTCGACGGCTAACTCGTCGTGGTTTGGCCGGAATATGGCTTGAAAGTGGCTAACTCGGCTCAAATAGTTTTACAGTTTATTGAGTAACAAATGTATGTTTAGTAGAATATTTGAGCCAAAAACTAAAAAAATAGGTGAAAACTATAGTAGTGAGGCCAAGAACATTGTCAAATGTGGTTCTACACTCAAGAATTTCTACGGAAAGTCTCATCTTAATATTTAAAACTTCACAGTGAGAAAGTCACGCATGACTTTCTAGCACTTGCAAGAATTTGAATTATTTTTGTACATTTTTCTTTTATTTCTCTTACCACTAGCACAAACTATCATATTCATGTTCTTCAAAATATATTTTTCTGTGCATGGAGCCCGACTCATTTTCTAAGCACCCGAAAGTTCACCTCGTTCTGCATGCGCAGAGCCCGCCTCATCTTGTGTGCCTGGGTTCGCCTTGTTCTGAATGTGAGGTGCCCGCATCATTTTGCATGCCAGAAGCCCACCCCATTTTTCGTGCGCAATGCTTGCCCCGATTTGTGCGACATATCTTGCTAACTTGTTTTGTGTGCTAGAAGCCTGCCCCATTTTATGTGAGTGGAGCCCGCCTTGTTTTGCATGTCATGATTCACCTTATTCTATGTG